TTATACGCCGGCAAATACGGTGTATATATATATATCCTCCTATCTAATAAAAGAGAAACATGGTAATTAGTGTACGACCACTACCCTTCCCATTGGCTAATTAGTGAGATATGCAAATTAGCTGCCAGCCAAGATGACAGCCAGCAGCCAGGCAGCTGGAAGCGAACATGAGGCTTGCTTGCTTCATAATAAATGTATTTAGGAGTAAGAGGAGTGATGAGGAAGTTTGTGTGTATGTATGTACTCATATCTTCAGAAGAAAAGGGAAATAATGGATTAAAATTGGTTATTTATAAACATTTGCTGATTTACTAAGAAACCTTACAGATTTATTATGTGAAGCATCTTTTATTACACTACATTGATTTTTCTCCCTGATCTAATGACTCTTCTCAGATTCTCCCACAGCAGTTCTATGATTTTTACATTTCTGTGTCTCATGTAGGATGCCATATATTTAATTTGTTCCACTAGAGACCTGGTGCATAAAATTTGTGCAGGGGGGTGGGGGGTGGGCTTCAACCTGAAGTGCATCCTCTCCAATCTGGGAGCCCTCAGGGGAGGTCCTACTGACAGCTTGGGGCCGCTCCCTATGGTTCTCTGCTCTCTGCGGGGCCTGCCTGGTCCACACCACGGCGACAGCTAAGCAGGCCCTGCTGGGTGCTGTCTGCGGCTGCAGTTGCCTGCTCACGGGTCGCCGTGGTGATGTCCAAGTGGGCACACTTGCCTGCCGGGCTCACATTGACAGGGTGACGTCACTAGCGTCCTTCCCTGGCCGCTATGTGCGTCGCCAGCTATGTGTGTCGCCATCTTTGTTGTGGCGTGATGGAGGGATGGTTAATTTGCATATCACTCTTATTAAATAGGCTAGCTCATGAAATGTTCCTTATATGTTGTGGTCAGAGGAATGGCTTCCATTGAAATCATTATTATACAGAAATATCTTGAAAATGGAAGTAATGTCACAATGAGCATACGAAGTTGTAGTTCTTGTGGTACACTTCATTCCGTCTATTAGATAAAAACTAAATATTCCTTTAGTTACTATTTTCATTGTTTATTATTGATGTCACCAAAGATATTCAGTGTTTGCCCATTTATTCAGGTCACAACTTGGTGATGTCATAATTTATGGTCTTTTTACAATAATATGAAGTGAAGAAACATAGCACATTCAAGTTGTGTAAGAGCTACTCCATTATTAGAAGGAAAACGTTGCAATAGGAGTGATGTAGTATTAAATAGCAGATGGAAAAGATCCAGGATGAAAAATTGATATGAATTCAGCATGTGGAAAGAGAGGATATCTTTTCCAGGATGCAATACTGACTCTGAAATTAGTAACATAAATGATACTTTTTTTTCATTTCCTTCCTATCTCCAATTCCTTTATTTCTTTTCATTCCCAGCTACATACATATCACAGCCATTCTCTTTTGAGGTGTTATGACTATACCATCTCCCAATTCTTCCCATCCTAAATCATCCTTACAGATCGTTCATTTGGAATTTATGTAATAGGGGGAAACATCAGATAGTGTTGAAAATTTTGGATTATATTTTGAATGAAAAAGAGACCTCACAACTTACAATTTCATGCTGAAATCTCTCTTTTGGAATGTGAATATTGAATGCTGGAAAACATGAGAATGGCATCTGATTTGAGAATTAGAATGATCTTCCCAGTCACAGTTTTATTATAACCCCGAATAGCCCCAGCAATCTTGAGAAAGAAGAGCAAAGTTGTCAGAACCACACAACATGATATCAAACTATAATATAAGGCGTTAGTAATAAAATCAGCATGGAACTGGCATCAGCTCATACATAGATCATTGGAACAGAGTAGAAAACCCAGAAATCAATCCCCTCTTATTAGGTCAATTAATATTTTACAAGGGAGGCAAAATATACAAGGCAGTAAAGACAGTCTATTCAATAAATGGTATTTGGAAAATTGGACAGATTAGTGCAAAACATCAAATCTATGTCCTTACACCATACATAAGTATGAACACTAAATGGATTAAAGACTTAAGTGTAAGACTCAATACAATCAAAGCTATATAAGATAATGTAGGCAGTAAAATCTTGAATATTTTCTCAGATTATCTTGATTAGCTTAGCCCAATCACGTGTTATTATGACAAGAATGGCTTGTGAAGACCCCTCCATTGCTCCCTGAATACCTTCTATAAAATTGCACATATCACAAGGTGCTTGACAGGAAAGGAATTCACGGAAGAACAGAAATGTACATGTAAGAATGTTCAGTGAACAATTGTGTTTATTTCTGGCTCTTTGTCATAAATAGCGTATGAAGAATGGCTATGTTGTGACTACTCACAGCTGTGTGTCTGGTCCAGGTGGGAAAGTGTAGGGTGAATTAGGGACCATGAAGAGATTAAAAGAGCAAGGAGAAGGGCAGCTATGATATGAGCAGTGAACACAGTGACTTAGGTGAAGAAAACACGAGACACTGAACAGGATGATCTCTCTTCCTCTTTATTTATTTTTTTAAAAGATATTTTATTGATTTTTTACAGAGAGGAAGGGAGAGGGATAGTTAGAAACATCAATCAGCTGCCTCCTGCACACCCCCTACTGGGGATGTGCCCGCAACCAAGGTACATGCCCTTGACCGGAATCAAACTTGGGACCCTTCAGACCGAAGGCTGATGCTCTACCCACTGAGCCAAACCGGTTAGGGCTTCCTCTTTATTTCTTTAATGTAAAATGGTGTCAAGGATCTATCAAGGTATTTATGAAACTCTTACCAGTGGTGACTCTTAGAGTGTGGAATATGGGAAAAAAGGATCTTCATTCAAAATGCTAACATATCTATAAATTTGGAGATTCTTCTATAAGAAGTGTAAATTACTACTTTTAATACTAAAAATGATAAAATTTAAAAAGCAGTGCATTTACAGTAGAGGTCTCACCAGAGGGTTCATCTCTGCTGGTTCTTGTGGTGAGCAGAGGCCTCCAGGGCAAGGATTTTGGTGACCACTTGCTGCTCATCATGCTCCACCAGACAAGTGAGCATCACACCCTCCCTGTAGACAAATTCACCAGGAGCCAGCTCTTGTAATTGACGGTCCCTTGCTTTTCTCTACATGGGTCGAGGCTATACAGGTTTGGTACATATTTCCGTTCTGGAACCAGGGAAGCTGGAGGTGCTGGTGATTCTTTACCAATCAGGTGAGCTTCACCATGTTGTCTGAAAGTGTGATAGGTAACCTCCAAGATGGGCAAAACTGAAACCGTACAGGGCGGAAGCTCTGACCTCATAGTACAGAAAGATCACAGAGGAGGGTTCCATATCTTAACGTCCCCACCACAGCAATTACTTTGAATTTCAAAGTAACCCAGAACACTTCAAAGTATCCAGCAAGTGCTCAGAACTCAGCAATCTCTTTGCATATGAATGAAATCAGTAAGTACAGGTCCCTGCCGAAAGTAGGTGGTGAAGGACTGGTAACTGCTCTTAGGGTGATATGTTAGAAATCACCAAGCACAGCCCCAGCATATAGGAGGAACATAATAACTATAGCAAAACAAGTGAACTCACCAAGGACATAGGAGCTTGGCTTATAGTAGGTGCTGTTATTGGAGTTGTTACTGGTGAAGTAGGTGAAACTACCAAGTATAGGGATAGATGTTCACCCGAGACCTGGCCTTAAACAGAGATGAGTGATGGGCACATCCAGGTGCCTGGCAATGGGACTGACTGTCAGGAATTGGATTCCAGGCCTGAAGCTAAGAGCAGGGGGCGGAGCAGCCTTGGAGGACAGGGGCCAGGTGTGGGTTTGAGCTGGGTATGAGGGACATCTACCTTGGATAGTCTCAAACAGTTTGGCTGTGCTGGAGTTGCTTGCTGTATAAAGGGCTGTCTCCATCTGGGTCTGCAGTAGCCTCAAGGATGGAATTTCATTTCCATCTTGGAATAATTTCAGGGCCATATTCTTGTGGGTGAAGTCATGGGAATTGGTGT